CCCCCCCCAAAAAAAAAAACCCAAAAGCCTGATTAATTAAACGCTTACCCTTTCATTCTGAAATTGGTGGTGCTGGGCATGATGGCAAAGTGGACGCTAAGGAAGGAAGATCACTGTGAGTTTGAGGACAGTCTTTGCTACAAAGTCAGTTCAAAGCTAAACTGAACCACATAGCACTCAAACAATCAAACAAACCATGCTGGGGCAAGGATCATGTGTCAATTATCTTCGTACCCCTCATGTACCTGCCCAGTATCTTTCACTGGGTCATCTTAGGAAGTAGTAGGTTTATTCATTTGTCAAGTTGAATATGTGGGTCTATCTATCTTCCATCTGTCTACCTATTTTTTTTATTATGAAAAGTAAACAGTGACAAATAATATTTGATAGGAAAATATCTCTTCCATTACCAGAAAAGAAGCTTTTCTTACCCACCTTCTGGGATTGTGCTATGTAGCTAGCCCAGGGTCGTTTAGGAACAGACCCCTATTAGTAGTTGACTAAACAAAAGAGGATGTCAACTCAGTTGTATGACCTTTGGCGGTATTCATTTTTCTAGTTTCCTTCATGTGGGCCCAGGAGTTATGCAACTCTGAAGCACTTGCCCTAAGTCTGCCTGTGGGGTGCTGAGGATTGGAACCCAGGGCCTTGCACGTGCTGGACAAGTGCTCTACCCTGAGCTACATCTTGGCCCTTTTTATTTTGTCTGAGACAAGGTCTCACAAAACCCGAGATCCTCCTCCCAAGTAGCTGGGTTTGCAGGGCCCCCCGCTGCACCCAGCCAGATCTCCCGTCTTGAAGTAAAATGTTGGGCTGGTGATTTCCCAAAAAGTATAGCTTCTTCTCTAGGATTTTGAGGGACATTTGTTTCTGAGAGCTCTGTGGCTTCACTAATAGAGCCATAATTCCAGAAGATCAAGAGCCACGTACTGAAGGAACACATTGAGCAGCTTCTTGCATTTTCTATTTGTAGACTAAACAATACCCATATCTGAATTGATTAACTGACTCGGGATGGAAGTCTAGGCTATGACTAGGAGGGAAAAGTCAGGATTCAACATGTTTTACTATTATATTCAAAATTCTTGGGCCTGGGGAGATAGCTAAGTAGAATAAGCACTTGTCTGGCAAGCACAGGGTCCTGAGTTCAATCCCCGGTACCTCGTAAAACAAAACAAAATTCTCACGAAGGACTCTATACCAGCTCCCAACCTTTCCTGGGGATCCCCACCATCTGAGCTCTGAAGTCCTTACATTCAAAGGGACATGTACTTCCTGTGGCTCGACAAAAATCAGATAATGACCTGCACTCTAGCTTTCCGTAAGTGCATGTTCGCAGCCCGCAAGGTCTGCTCTCCTCGTGTGGGGTTGGCAACCACACACACAGCAATCTCATTCTTTTCATCAGGCTTCTCCGGCCCTCTGTCTCTTGAATCTCTTCCATTTGCGAAAGCTCTGTCTCCCTACTTCCTGTTTCTCTTTGATTTCTTTTATTTATTTATTTTTTATTTTTTTCTCTTTGATATCTGAGAGGAATGTCCAACGGGGTAGAAGAAGTTCAGGGTAAAAGCTCAGATTTTCTTGTATCACTTAGGAGCTCGCTTGCCTCTCTATGGAGAACACGGCTAATCAGTCTTACCCCAAGCTGGGGCAAACATTTCAAAAAGAAATAAAAAAGATCACAGACCTGTTAAAAAGACCTGTCTAGGTCTGATTATTGCCTACTCTCACAGACCTCTCAGAAAATGACCATGTAACTGGACAAGGTGGGGGAATGCCTACAATCCCAGCACATGGCAAGCTGAAGGATGAGGATTGCCACAAGTTTGAGGCCAGCCTGAGCTACACAGTGAGTTAGTTCATGGCCAGCCTATACAGCAAAACCCTGTCTGGAAAAAAAAAAAAAAAAAAAGTGGGGGGTGGGAGTGACCATGTTAAATTCACTGTGACGAAGAACTCAGCAAGTTTGGGAATACCAATCAGTGAAACTGGGATCCCCTTCCCTTCCGTGTATGTGTGGCACTATGTGCACAAATTTCTGAATCTGTGAGTTCAGCTGGTCAAATTGCTTTAGTTTAGGGGATTTGTTTATTCTGTGGTGCTGTGCAAAGAACCCAGGGCCTCACATGCTAGGCAAGCACTCCACTGCTGAATTACATCCCAGTCCTGTTTGTTTTTTGGGGACAGGACTTACTAAGTTGGACAATCCAAGGTTTTATCTGGGGATATAGCTCTGTGGTACAGCGCCTACCTGTCAAGCATGAGATCATGAATTTGATAAATAAATAAATAGGACTTAATAAGTTTTTTTATCTTTTATTTATTTATTTAGTACAGGATCTTGCTACGTTGTTTGGACTTATAGTGATCTTCCTGTCTCAACCTCCCCAGGGCTGGGGTTACAGGCATGCACACCTGGTTTTGAAGATGGGCACAGCACTGGGGTTCCGGGACTGGCTCAGCATGTGGTACCGGGGATTAAACCCAGGTCCTTGTGTTTGCCACGCAGGCACTCAGCCCACCGAGCTATCTCCCCAGTCCCACTAAATTGTTAAGTTGCCCAGGTCAGCATGGAATTTATGATCTTCCTGCTTCAGCCGAGCAGCCTTTGGGCAGGGAAACCACACAACGACTGGCCCCCTGACCGCTCTTCCCTGAAGCATCAGGAAGGGAAGAGCCAGAAGTGGTCCAGAGAGGCTGACCACCTTCCTGGGGATGGTTGAGTGAAGGAAATCGCAAGTACATAGGTTTGCCTAGCGTACAAAGGATTCACAGAAAAACCCCATGTAGGGCCCACCTCCAGGAAATGATGGTGACAAGAGAAGAAAAGCTTATTCACCAAGCTACAAAAACACCTGTTCATCCCTTTAAAATCAATCTCTGAGTAATTTTAAAGAATTTTCCAGCCAGGGGGATGGTGCCTGCTTGTGACCCAGTACTCAGGAGGCTGAGGCACGAGGATGGCAGCGAGTTCAAGGCCAGCTCGAACTTCATAGTGAGACCTTGTCTCATAAAACCAAAAAGATTATTTGGGGAAAACAAAAGAATGCCTCATTCACAGATCTCTCATTGAGGGGGCTCTGGGATCCCCACTGGCAACTCTGAATGCCTATAGCCCTTACTTACCCCTGCTGTCCTTCCCTATTCATCCCAGGGCTATCACATAGTGTCATCAAAAGAAAGCCTAGTTTTTTTTCAGCGTTAGAAACCTAAATGCTATCTGCAGTAAACACAGTTTCTATCAATTCAGTAGTTTTCAAAAATCATTAATTTTCTACCTTTAAAAATACAATGCCTTCCCCACCACCTCCCCGCAAAAAGAGGAAGTCCAGGTACTCTGTGGCAAACAAGAGTTAGAGAACATTTGGGGACGACCAGAGAAAACCTGTGTTTACCAAGCCTGCGCCTCCTAAGCTCCACCCCAGTTCTGGGTCTCCCAACGCATGTGCCAGGCAGCGACAGGGTCATGTGCCAGGCAGGGTCCGCGACATGTACAACACTCCAAGAAGAGCTCACCAAGAGATAGTTCCACGTAAATCAGTATTAAAAGAGTCTGAACGATGATGAAAAATACTTGCTCCATGTTATGTCTAAGATGTTTGATATTCAGAGAGGTTAAGCTTAACAGCCTAGGTTGTATGGTAATAACAATAAGCTTGTCTTCTGGATGGTTAACAACCTAAGTTTGCAGACCAAAAT